ACATATATACACACACACATATATATATATATATATATAAGCACACACACATATATACACACACACACATATATATATAAACACACACACACACAAAGTGTGTATATATATATGTATACTAACTGAGACTTGTTATAGCACTTGCATATCATTGCTCTTTTGTTGATTTTGATTGCTTCTATTGTGCTCATTTGTAAGTCGCTTTGGATAAAAGTGTCTGCTAAATGACTAAATGTAAATGCGCTATATTTTATTCAATAATATTGCTTCATTAATATTCTGTATTTTGAGGGAATTTCGTGGTCCTAGACAATTTTCACTGCTAAATTGTGGTATAGACAGATAAGGCTGTGTTTAGATTTTAGTTTAAATTATTTTCAGATGTACTTTTGCTAAGTTTTGCATTTGGATATATTTGGGCATAATTAAAGACTGTTTCGTCATGGCTACTTAATAATACATAACTGCTCTGTATGTTCATTTTCCCCATTCGGATCACAGGTGTGACTTTTTTATTTTATCTTTTCTAATCATGTTTGCATCCTTTTTTTGTGTATGTGTGCATATAGCAAGCTTTTTTGGTCTAACATGACCAAAGGCTTGATTTTGATTGCTTCTATTGTGCTCATTTGTAAGTCGCTTTGGATAAAAGTGTCTGCTAAATGACTAAATGTAAATGCGCTATATTTTATTCAATAATATTGCTTCATTAATATTCTGTATTTTGAGGGAATTTCGTGGTCCTAGACAATTTTCACTGCTAAATTGTGGTATAGACAGATAAGGCTGTGTTTAGATTTTAGTTTAAATTATTTTCAGATGTACTTTTGCTAAGTTTTGCATTTGGATATATTTGGGCATAATTAAAGACTGTTTCGTCATGGCTACTTAATAATACATAACTGCTCTGTATGTTCATTTTCCCCATTCGGATCACAGGTGTGACTTTTTTATTTTATCTTTTCTAATCATGTTTGCATCCTTTTTTTGTGTATGTGTGCATATAGCAAGCTTTTTTGGTCTAACATGACCAAAGGCCTCCAGAGTGTTAACCGAGCATAAGTACAGTAATAACTGCATGAAGAAACTGATGAGGAACACATGCGTGAGGACTCACCGCCGGCCTGCTGTAGAGATGCCAGATTAATCCAGCCTCGATGAAGACGCCCAGCAGAGCCACGGCCAGCAGCAGGTAGATGACGGAGAGCCGCGGGCCGTCGCTCCTGACAGACACCTGAGGCGGGAACGCCTGGCTGTCCACCACAAACACCTTCATGTCTTTATTCACGCTCTCAGCTGCGTCTGCCATGCTGCAGCTCCTGTACGACTGACCTAACAGCTTCAGACGGGAAACCTCTGTCAGAGCTCCTCCATAGAGTGTGTGAAGCCTTCACTGCAGTGTGTGAGAGTCCATCCTCACCGCCAGCACAGCAAACACACGAGCATCATCTGAGCTGCTGAGAGCGACCTGACATCCTCTGACCCTGAGCCTCACCGAGCACAGAGAGAGAGAGAGAGAGACGACCGCCCACTGCTGCTCGCGGAAGAGTGTGTGTCTCAGAGAGAGAGAGAGAGAGAGAGAGAGAGAGCACTGGGGAGGGGTTCAACAGAGGAAAGAAACTAAAATGAGGAAGTTTTTTGGCTGTATGATGATAAATCTATCTGTCACTACAGATTTACGTCTGTCTTCTGAAACCTCTTTGTTTTGTTCTCCATTTACTTAAAAAGTAACTTTTAGTTATTGTTATTAAAAAGTGACAATACCTTTCTTACTACATACAAAGTAACTTTGTATTATTGTTCCTTAAAAAGTAACATTAGTAAATAAAAAGTAACTGCTTATTATTATTACTTAAAATATATAGCTTAAAACAATATTGTGGTAATCTCATAGAAAGTAACTTAAAGTAACAATGTTGTGCTGTCATGAAAAGTTACTTTTTATTATTGTTACTTAAAAAGTAACAATCCTACTTGTTGAATAAAAAAACAATTGCTGTTGTTTAAAGTAAACATATTGTGTTAATTTTATAGAAAATTAACTTTTTTATAAAAATAACAATATCCTACTTGCACAATAAAAAAGTTACTTTTATTATTGTTACTGAAAAGTATCAATATCCAGTTTATTTAATACAAATAACTTTTTTTATAATTGTTCAAGTAACAATTTTGTGCTAATTCCATAAAAAAGTAACTTTTTGTTGTTGTTACTTAAAAAGTAACAATATCCTACTTATATTTTTTGTTATTGTTACATAAAACATCACAATATCCAACAAAAAGTCACTTTTTAGTATTTTTTCTTAATGTAACAATATTGTTCTAATCTTATAAAAAGTAACTTTTTAATTATTGTTACTTAAAGGTAACAAAATCCTAATTATTGAATAAAAAGTAAAATTTTAGTTACCTAAAGTAACAATATTGTGCTAATTTAATAAAAAGTAACTTAAAAAGTAACAATATCCTATTTATAAAAAGTTGTTACATAACTGTTACTTTACATTAAAAGTAACAATGTCTTAATTATAATATCAAGCTACTAAAGTATGAAACAGAAAGTAACAGATGTTATGTAATTTCATTTCTGTAAATGTGTGATGAAATATTGAATTGGTCTGTTTGAAGCTTCCCCAGTGCAGTCCTAAAATCATGCTACTTTTGTGTTAGTGTGCATGCAGAGGATGCATGAAGATCTGCACAAATATAAAATCAATCCGGAAAAAGTATACAACAAAACAGGTGACCACAGGCGCTCTCGCTTATCTGATGACCTAGAGACTAGTGCATTCATGCAGATATATAAAATACATGCACACACACACACCCTCTCTCTCTCTCTCTCTCACACACACACACACGCGCTCTCTCTCTCACACACACACACACACACGCGCTCTCTCTCTCACACACACACACACACACGCGCTCTCTCTCTCACACACACACACACACACGCGCTCTCTCTCTCACACACACACACACACACGCGCTCTCTCTCTCACACACACACACACACACGCGCTCTCTCTCTCACACACACACACACACACGCGCTCTCTCTCTCACACACACACACACACACGCGCTCTCTCTCTCACACACACACACACACACGCGCTCTCTCTCTCACACACACACACACACACGCGCTCTCTCTCTCACACACACACACACACACGCGCTCTCTCTCTCACACACACACACACACACGCGCTCTCTCTCTCACACACACACACACACACACACACACTCTCTGTCTCTCTCTCTCACACACACACACACACACACACAGGTTCCGGTGCAGTGAGAGCTCAGATGTGAGGATGCAGTGAGACAGGAAGCAGTTGGCGTCTCTCATGATGAGCGGCTGCACTGACCGTGAATCATCTCTGAACACACACTCTTATGCACCTGTCCTCATGAAACCGGACAAGCGTCTGATCTCTGGTCAGCTTTGAATCAGTATTTTCACTCACTCGCTGTGTGTGTTCAGAGTTCACATCTCAGTTTCAGTCTGTTCACTGGGACATTTCTCAGGGTTTTTTCTCCCCCCTCGATCACGCAGCCACACTTGTACTGTACAATGAACAGCTGCATTTATTTTTTGTGCAATTTAATTTGCAGTTGAAGCTTTTATGTGCATGCTGTAGAATATTTATTACTGTTTTTTTTCAACTGCTTACACACATTTTCAAAACTTTGCCTCTTTTTTTCCCCCAGAACTTTACGCACAAATCCAAGAATTGCACACAAAATGCTAAATGAAGCACTGCATTCAAAATATCACAAACATTGCTTCCTGCTTCTGGATGTTACAGGTTTCGATGACATGGTTTTATGTGTAACGCACGTCCCTGCGCGCTGATTGGCTGCAGCGCGGACACTCGGTGTGCTCTGATTGGCTGAGCGCCGCAGCAATAGTTTAGCTACGGAAGCGGAACACGTCCGTCGCAGGACGGAGGCGTTTAACGGAGTTACAAACGCCGTTCAAAAGGCTCTTTCTGCGCGTTACAGCATGGATGGCGCGCAGAGGACACGCGTGTCTGTGCTCGGATGTGTCGCGCTGTTTGTCGGCGCCGTTAACGCGTTCAGTCCCGCGGACAGCGAGTTCACGTTTCTGCTGCCAGCTGCCAGCAAAGAGTGCTTCTACCAGAGCGCCGTTCGGAACGGCAGCGTCGAGATCGAGTACCAGGTAACGCTACGAACTCTCAAATATCAACACACAGCGAGCAGAGAACGTTATGAGCAGACATTCTTCCAGAAACGCTATTAGAACGTTCAAGAAGAGTTGTGTGGTTTTCAAAAAGATTATTCATCATACATCATTTTATGGAACGTTTTGTTCCTGAAACATTTCGAACGTTCGTGTAACATTTTTTGAAATGTTCAGAACGTTTAGAGAACATTCAAAAGTAACAGTCCCAAAATATTTGTATATATACACTGAAAAAATACTATAGTAATTTGTAGTAAATACTATAGTGTTTTTGAACCATACTATAGTACTGTATATATTATAGTATTTACAACACTTTATGCTACAGCATACTGTAGTATTAACTATAGTGAACTGATAAACTGCAATAAATATTGTAGTATGCTTTATTTTTTACTCCAGTAAACTGTAGTGTATTGTAGTATAATAATAATATACCCTATAGTTGTAGAAAACTTAGTACAGTATTGGGTACAGTAATTTGTTTATAATACTATAGTTACAGCAACTACAGAATTACCACAACAAATTAATTCAAGTACTATAGTATTTAGGCTACTATAAATAACTAGTATTTATTCATGTTGGGTTCCCTTAACGTTATGGGGAAAAAAACGTTATTTATGTAGCAAAGGAGCCGGTTCATGGTTTCACCTTTGTTTACTCTGATTGTACCACAGCTGTACCAGAGTTAAACTACAGTTGCTGCAGTGTGTATGTCAGTGAAGGGTGTGAGATGTTTGTTTAGCGCGTATCCTGCCTCAGATCCGTGATGGCACCGTGATATTATACGAGTTTTTAAGTGAATGATGCTTGCTTACCTTATAAAACTTGCCACCTCGTTGCTAGGGTGCTGTGTGTGGTTGCTAGGGCACGCTGAGTTCTATGTGGCACTGTGTTTGTGCAGGTGATCGCTGGAGCAGGTATGGATGTGGATTTCTCCATCGTCTCTCCTCAGGGGATCTACCTGGTCTCGGAGTTTCGCCGTTCCGACGGCGTTCATATGTGAGTGTTCACATCTAAACTGTAGGTCTACATAATATTCACATATGCTGATCATAGGGGACGTATTGTATTAGCCCTACAGTTACAGCACGAAATACTATTTAAACCTATCGGACTATTTTTCTCACAAACGCAAGTTTATATCTCCTAGTTCGAACTCGATTTAACTCCACAAATTTTGCAAGCAGCGAATTGGTCTGTTCACACAGAACTTACACGTTTGCGCCGGAGACCCGTATCGTATGATTGGCTGCCGCTCCGGCGGTTACTCGCGTGTGATTGGTCCGCTGTTTTCAGGGTGGAGCCCACGGAGGCGGGAGACTATCAGATCTGCTTCGACAACAGCTTCAGCAGGTTCTCCGAGAAGATGGTCTTCTTCGAGGTCATCATGGACAGCCCAGCCAATGACGCGGGAGCGGATGACGAGTGGGCGGGGCTTGGAGAGCCAGAGAACCTATTAGAGTACAAGCTGGATGACATAAAGGTGAGTGAATGCGTAAAGATATTCTGGGTGAAGTAATTAACACTGTATGGATGGTGTCTAGCTACCACAGAAACACAAACCAGCTCAGTTTGTTAAGGCCTGCACATTAAGTCTTTGGGGCAAGTGTACCTTTGTGACCCTTGTATTTTTGTTAAAGAACTTACGTGTATTTTTTTTTTTTTTTTTTTGTCGTCTAACTAGATAATTTAATTGAAAATAATCTCAAAATGTAAAACATCTTAAAGGCTTTCAATTTAAGCGGTGTTATTGTGGCATTGTTTATACTAAATAGTATGTATTAATATTTCTAATAACATATAGTATTTGTTACTATTTATTATTTTTAATTTGAGTCATTTTATGTGCTTTTGTCATTTTCATTAGATTTTTTTATCTAGTTAGCTTTAGTTTATTTTAATTTGAGTACTTAATTCATTTAGTTTTTACCCCATCTACTATTTATTTCAGCTCTATTTCAGTTACCAAAACAGTTTTAATCATTTGTTTTAATTAACAATAATAACACTGACTTTAAGCTAAATCTAATTACTTAATTACATATTTGTGTATATATAACTGTATAATAATTAGTGGAAAAGTGTTTATTTCATTTAAAATTCTCACAATGCAAAACATTAAACAAAGCTTTATTTACTTTCAGCAGTGTTATATTAGTATTAATTATATACTATTATATTATTTATTAATATTTCAATTAACATTTTTCTTTCTAATTTTAGTTTTAAAAAAAAATTAATTTAGTTATGCTTTCATCATTTTTATTACATCTATTTAGCTTTAATTTATTTTCATTTTAATATTTAAACTAGAAAGGCTTCGCCAAGGCAACATTCATACACACACACACACACGTATATATACACACACACACACACATATAAATATATAAACTTTTAGAATTATATACATATTTTACATTTTCTTTAATTCTAATTTTCGTCAAATTTAAGATCTAAAGTTAGTTTTTCATCTGATATTAATGTTTTAATTTCTAATTGTCATGTTTTAATTTACGAAAAACTTCTAATGTTCTAATTAACAGCAAGAACACTTTAAGCAGAACATCATTTCTCATTTAAATGTTATACTTCTTTTAGAGTGAAATATGTCATTTTGGTGATTGACGAGACAGTTTTCTGTGATATTAGATCTACTCTGCGAGATGAAGTTGAGCGTCTGTGTTTCCTCTCTCTCTGTCTCTGCTGCAGGAGTCGATGGAGACGGTTCACCGGCGGCTGGAGCGCAGTCGGCAGATGCAGACAGTCCTGAGGGCCTTCGAGGCTCGCGACAGGAACCTGCTGGAGGACAACCTGTGGCGGGTCTCCTTCTGGTCCTGTGTCAACCTGCTGGTGCTGCTGAGCGTGGCGCTGACGCAGGTCTACACCGTCCGCCGGCTGTTCGACGACAGGAGGAGAGTCTGCTCCTGACACCAGAGACCACACACAGCCAGATAAGAGCAATAACAACCACAGCAGCCATAATAACGGCCCGGTCCAGCCGAGATGAGCGCGCTTCATCTGGACTTTACCTAGCTGTCCGTTTCATGTCTTCCTGTCGCCTCAATGTTCATAGTTCTGTCGTTTTCAGTCCCGTCATTTCCTGATGCGAGATGAAGCCGTTTTGGGAAAATGTGAAAATGTGCCGTTATCGTCAACAAAGGGAATCTTCTGTACAGCCGTGTGCTTTTTTTAAAGAGTTTTACAGATTAAATCTAATAAAAGGGGTTGTATGTTTGTACATGGTGTCTGTGGTGTTCAGTTATTTACATTTTACTTTTGTGTTGAAACTGGGATCAACAAGATGTGTGAATCGTTTGAGAGTGGCTGCTATAATTGCAGCTGAACACTAGATGTCACCGGTAGAGTCTGTCTTTGAGGATTTGAAGCTTGTTTGGTAGAATCAGGAAAACGCCTCAAAAAGGCTTCATCTGCTCATCTCTAGGTAATTGTAATAACTAATGACTTTTTATTTTTTTTGCATCAGATGACATTAAACCCTCTTATTTATACAGAGACCTTAACACAGAAACACTTTTCCATTAGATTAATCCATGATCTGGGCTCATTTTTTCTCATAAAAATCCTGTTTCACTTGGAAATGCATCATATTACGTTAGTAAAAAGGTTGTTTTTAATCTAAAAACAAATTACAATAAAAGGCTTACTAATACTTAATTAAATCATGAATATGCAATAAATGAGATATAAAAAAAACACTAAAAATTACATTAAAAAAATTTACAAATAATTTTACTATAAAAACAAATCAAAATAAAATACTAAACATTTATCAGATGATAACAATGTAAAACTAACATAATAATAATAAAAAAAAAAAACATTTATGAAAGAATTAATCATAAATCATGACCAGCTGTTTCACATTAAATAAGTTACGTTAGTAAAAATAGTTACAAACTCTGATTTTTTTAATATATATATATATATATATATATTTACCCGTCAGAACTGATTCACATCCATAACGAACAAAATTAATTAAAAAAAAACCTTTGGGTTGCTGCATGAACATTTGAGAAAAAAAGAAAAGAAATCAAATCTTTAGTTTAACAAATTGCCCTTTTATTGGTAATAATAATCACTACATTTTGGTTAAGCGTGCTTTTGTTCGCAGTCCTTGCGAAATGTCATGAAAAACATAAAACAAGCGACAGAGACAATAAATGAAAGAGAGATGAACAGATGAAAGGAAGATCTCGTGTTAGACATACACGATATAAAATAATTTCCCTAACGAGTTAATATCTAAACATCCATAAATCAAATCAATGTACTGGAGGAGCGAAGCTGAACAAGACGGTTTTCAGATCATGGGCGCGCGCGAGTGTTTAACTGCGATCGGCTGCGAGAAATAAACTTCTCTGAAAACAAGTCCTCATCTAGAATTACTTAATAAAGTGGTTTAAGGCAAAATATCGAGAAGTGTATTTAATGCTACCAAAGTACATCGTGTTAATGAACACCGTATTCTGTGTATTAAGAGGAGGTTTTTGAGATGTTCTGTAGTTAGTGTGTCGTTTAGACCATAAAAAGTGTTCAAAATAGTGTCCAGAAATGATGTAACTGTGACAGTAGTGTCTGCTGTCTTCATTAGGAATGCTAATAAAGTGTTTCTGCACACATAGCATAGAAACTGGAGTGTTTCGTGCGGCCAGTCGATGTCTGAGTCGAGGTTCAGTCGTCTGTAAACATGATGGTGTGTGTGAAATGAACGGACCTGTGACATCGGTGTCACACGTTTACCTCCCAACAAATCCCCTGAAATCATCATTTCTGGAAAACATCATACATACGTGGAAATGCTTATTTAACTCAATCATAAAATGTCTTGTTATTACTACTACTCGGAGAAAAAGCACGGAAGAGTATCAAATATCATGTGTCAGTGAAACGACGAGTAGCCCTTTTTTGAACTATGACACTTGTGTGTGTTGTAGTTTTCTTTGGCGTTCTCCGTGCTAAAGCTCCTCTCGTCTGGATCCTCTTCAGTCCAGCAGAGACGGCTCTGACGGTCTGATTATAGTGGGCCGGTTCGGAGCGGCTGGAGGTCTCCTGCTACACACAGACACAAGACGATCAACTCCAGACGCCTACGAAAAACTGCAACTAGAAGATAATTACCAGCCGACATGACCAGCAGTCACTGTTAAAATTAACTCTTTCCCCGCCATTGACGAGCTATCTCGTCTTTTAGAAGAAAACGCTTCCCCGCCAAAGACGAGTTTTTACGGCTTTTCGTGTTTTCACTGTTATACACTCCTGCGCTATTACACATCTTCTGAACGAGTACAAAACCTCCCGAACAAAAACACACATGTGTACAGGACGGAGAAACTAGCGATCTCTTATGCAAACGGATGCATATGAAAAATAATGCGATCATCAGCAATAGACAGCATATAAATGAAAACTGCATAATGTTACGGAGTAAAATGTTGATCCAGGAAGTGGTATATGTCTGTGCAAGCTTTGGAGGTGTTGATGGAAGCGATTTACTGGATTTATGCTTTGATAATCGTACTGAATATTACTACTGAAAATGTGATTTTCTCACCTTTTTGCTCAAAATTATGCATTTTTTATGAAACCTACCTATATTCAAGTGTTAATAAAAAAAGAATGCTTTAAGCTAGAATAAAACTGATTTTTTTTTTTTAAAGTAGAGGATCTTTATTTTGTTGTATTGCATATTCAAATATTCATACAGCAA